TATTATATTGCTTTCCGTGCAAATGCACGGGTTAAAAACTAGTATATATAATTGCTGGCATATAGCATTTAATAAAATATTTAATAAAACCTCCATTGATTTTCCCGCTCATTTTACAATTAATGCAGAACCGTTACATTTTATATTAATAAAGTATAATAATAATTTTAATATAATTTATTCACTAATCACTACTAACACTAATTGATTGCAACTGTACATTAAATAGTATGTGGAAGTTACATACTTATAAAAAATTGTATTGCAGCTTTTTTATTTAAAATATTTTTTTCTAAAATGAAATATTTTTGTTCTTTTTAAGTGATTTTTTATCTAATATTAGTTAATTGGCATGAGTGTCATAATTAAACACCTTAAAATCACATAAACAAATGCTATAACAATGATAAAAATAATTGTAATACTTTTCTAACTAATTAATTGTATGACCCCTCTAAATTACTAAATTATATTAGCCATTAAAATTTATGGTATCAATATAAAGATTCATACGTAAGTTAAATAAATTATATTTACATTACACATTTGCATGTAGTCAAAATTTAAAATGTAATACATCAATTATCTAATATAAAATTTCTATATATTGTATACATAAATATAATTTATAAATTTTTATTTTTCTTTGTGCATGTGCACAGGATGAATACTAGTTTTGTTATTATTATTAAGGTAATTTTAATATTTTCTGATTTTACTTTGATTAACATTTTTTGATAACAAAAATCATTATGATAAAATTGCATATTTTCCTTGTGTTCGGAAACTGAACAGATGGATTAATAAAGATTTTCAATTTCATTAAATATTAATATTAGATTGTGTCTTATTTTATTTATCAAATACACATATTTAATCTCTTTCCTTTCTCAATCACTCTTTCCTTCCTATCTAATTACCTCTTTCCTTTCTCAATCACTCTCTCATTTCTATTTTAATCTCTTTCCTTTTTCAATCATGCTACCATTTTTTCCTTTGTCCCTCCTCAAACCCATGTCTTCCTTTAACCATGTCATATCCATGTTTGTAACGGCTCTCCCCCATCCATCACAATGTGTTAACTTTGGACATTGTGTTTCTATGATTCTAATTTCCTTTTATAAATATTTTTTGTTTAATCGTTCTAATAATATATAGTTTTATGTATCATGTGAATTAATAATCTTGAATATATTTTATTAAATAAAATAATATTGACACACACATATTTTATATATATATATATATATATATTGTTAGTAACAATGAATTAGATTACCCATTGTGAATTCACTCTAACTTTCTTATGTTGTAGGAAATATTTGATTGATATTCTAATAAATAAAATATTTTTGATATAAATAATATTTTATTTGATTGTATTTTTTTATAATATATTAGTAATTTAAACAGATATATATGTGTAACATAATATATTTCATATTTGAATTAATGAGAAAAAAATGAAAATAGTCATGTAGAGTAAATGTATCTCAAAATATTTGAGATGAACTTTGATTGTTGGTTAACTATACGAGTGGAATAAGTTTCACACTATATGACTGCGTGTTGCAATGCGGCAAATTAGAATTTATATTTTTCCTTGACTAATATCTACTAACTAGTAGTAGATTGTATTAATTCAAATTATAAAAAGCTATTTGGTTGGAATATAAAACTAGACTAACTAAAATCTAATGCAACAAATAAAATCTAACGAAAGAAATAAAAATAAATGTAAATAAATTAAGAGAATTTTCTAGATCTCGGTTTCGTCTACACCCTCGCTCGACTTATCAGTGAACAATGTAAAAAACTTAGTATATCTTCGGGACATGCATAAATAACTATTTCTCGTCGTCCATCAAAAGTAGACAAAATTCGAATAGTTCAAGCCAAATTCCATTGACATAACTTAAAAATTAGTAGGAATTAGGAATAGAGGTTGTCCCTCACTAATAAACTTATCTTAGAGTGTATTTGTTTGGGATTTCTAAAAATTTGTCGAGACTTTAAGGTGTATTTAATTTTGATGTTTTAAAACTTTTAGAAATTTGAGTTATTCATTTAAAATTTAAAAAAGTCTTAACAAATCAGATTCTATTTAACTTATGTGATATTAAAATTTTCTAATCTTAAAGATAAAGTTAAAATTTCATAAACAGAAACCTCTCACCCCAATTTCAGACATCAGAATTTCAAGTTTTTTTTCTAAATCTCAAAATCTTGAAATGTCTCAAATTTTTAGAAAGTCGTAATGTTAGGAAATCATTAATATAAAATTGGGTATGACCCGATTTTGATTGATTTTTTTATGACTAAATATTTAATTCGAGTTGAATTAAAATGTGTAGAAAAATTCAACATTCCGAGTAGATACTCGTGGTATACTCAATTCTCAAAACTGGTATTCGGTGAGTAAGAAATAAATGTTAGTCATAAATGGACACGCAAAATGTTGGTTGTGGATTCGAAGGGTCAATGAGATTAACTCTTTTATTATAATAAAGAGAGTTGGAGAGGTCACAACAACAACAAAATTATGCACCAAGTGTTGGTGTACAAATCGAGTTGGTTTTGGGCTCGTGTTTTGACTCAACCCGTGTGACAAAGTTCCAGGTACATTGAACTTGGACTATGACTTTTCAATAGTCCACCACATGACGGTTTCAGGAGTATGAGGTGAATTAATGGTGAGTCAAACCTGAAACGTTTCGCAATTAAAATCAAGTCATGAATGGTTGTTAATAGCTTGGTGGTTACAAGTTGAATAGTCATCAAAACAAGCCATAAATGGCTGTTAGGGTGTCTCCAATGGTTGGCTATTTGGCTAACTATTATGACGTGGACATGGAAAAAGTAAGAGAGAGAGAGTAGTCACTAGCTACTAACAAATAGCTTATCTATTTCACGTAGCCCAAGATTATGTGAGAGGAGTACGTGGGTCCAATAGTGTAAAATAGTTATTTTTCTTATCTCTCACATCCACGTCAGCTGACCATATAGCTAGTAATAACTATTACCATTTGAGATGCCCTTAATGGCTTGGTGGTTACAAGTTTTGAATAGTCATCAAAACCAGTCATGAATGGTCTTTAATGGCTTGGTGGTTACAAAATGAAGAGACATCCTCCACCTAGGTGGAAGCCTATAAATAAGACATTGTAGAGACTTGATCGAGACACAAAAAATCTCATATGCATTCTCAACTATCTCATCTCTCATAGTCTCACGCATACATCGTGCTCAGTTTTCGTCTCTGTTCCTGTTCACCTGAACTTTGAAGACTAGTGTGCTACAACTTCTGAGTGTATAGCCGTTGTATCTTTAGAGACATTACGCACAGAGCTGTCAGCACTATACGGGACATATTTGTGTTGCGGAAAAATTTTTATCGTCCTGACTTTAGTCTACCCGCATTTGAGTTGTATTTATATTTCTTGTTTAGTTCATATTGTACGAACTGAATTCAGGGGCAGACGCAAACTTTAAGGATAACGGGGGCACAAACTACGGTCAACAGTCAACGTCGTAGGTCGATGGTCAAATCAATATTTAACCAATTAAAAAAATAAAAAGATAAAATCTTGACAGACACCTTGTTTCTTATTCAATAGATAGAGTTGGGTCTTACATTCTCATTTTAAGAATAGTGACACATTTGATTCAATCTCTATAAGTATATACATTTATGTACAATATTTGTTTTAATATGTATTTTAGGAAGAAAAAGGAAATAAAAAAGAAGTTGAATATAACATACGCATAAATTTCACAAGTTAAAAAAGTAACATACCATTGAAGGTTAAATAATTCTAAACATTTTTTTTTTTTATTTTTTATATTGAAATAATTTTGCTTAATAATTAATATATATTTTTTATGTTAATTAATACGTTTATATATATATACATACATACATATTACATAAAAGTTACAGGAGCTGTGCCCCTACAGGTCCCTGTGTAAATCCGTCACTGACTGAATTCTTTAGTCAGTTACAAGTTCTCGTTGTAATCAAAACACATATTGTGTAACACTTATGTTATCTCTAACATGCCAAATGACTACACCTGCAATGTTTTTTTCCTTTTATCCATTTTAAGATAATGCGACTACGTGTCTACGTGAGACCAAAAAAAAAATGTGCTAATACCACTAATTGGCCATATAAATTTACAAAACCTAAATTTTAGCCATATTTTGTAAAAAACATTTTTTTTAGCCATTTTAGTATGTGAAAATACAAAATTATCCCCAACCCAATTTTAATTCCCCATTTCACTTTCACTTCCCCCAAACACTTTCACTTTCACTTTCACTTCCCCCAAGTTTTTTTCACTTTCAGCAAAAAAATTGAAAAAAAAAAAAATTGAAAATCTTCATAAAAAAAAATCGAAAATCTTCATCCCACGACCTCTGAGATCGCACGACCTCGCCGGCTCGACCTCCGCACGACCTCCGACCTCATTCTGTGGCCACCTCTCCGGCTCCACGACCTCTGACTTCGTCCCGTGGCGACCTCACCGGCTCAGAAGAGATCCCGCAAATCCTCCGCAGCTTCTCGCCGGCTCCGAGGAGATCCCGCCAATCCTCCGCAGCTTCTTGTCGGCTCTAAAGAGATCCCGCCATATCTTATCTGGTCCCTGAAATCAGGTATTTAGGGTTCTTGTCCCTTAGTTTTTTTTGTTCAAATTAGGGTTCTTTTAATCAGGTATTGGCTTGAAATCAGGTATTTAGGTGGACGTTCTTGTAATTAAGGGTTCTTGTCCCTTAATTTTTATTGATTTTGTGAGAAACAAAGCTCAACCCTTTCTCAACTGAGGCTTTAATCAATGGAAAGTGATTTCCACCGGTCCGTTTCTTCTCGGTCTACCCGAAGAAATCAACCCCAGCAAGCCAAAGGTGCGAAAACATATTCTCGTTCCCTTCAGAATCACCACATGTGTTGTTTATTTTTGGGAGTTTTTTGGTTCATAAAATCAAGAACATGAATGCAGATAGTGAAGCGGGGTTGTTGTACAGTGGGAAATTGACCCAAGAAATTGCGATGAGGATTATATGGAAAAGGGGTTTCATTCGGTTGATTCTTACGGGCGGGATCATCTGGATGTTGTTAATTCTCACTGTTCTGTTGTTTCATATATGGTCTTGCCAATCTTCTGTTGCCTTCTTTTCAGGTAATTACCAGTTATTTGCCCGTTTCTGCGCAGTATTTGTCTGCAAAGGCTTTCGTTTTGATGTGAACTTCTGATTGTTGTTTTTCGAAGCTCAATTGCAACTTTCTCTGTAAAATATCATCAGTTTCTGTGGTGATTTCGCCTAATAAGTGCGTTTGTTTAATGTTTAATGCTATTGTGGATTTTTGCAGAAAGTGTGAAAATATGTCTTCCTTTGGCTTCATTTACATTTGCGTAACTATTGGTGTAGTTTCTGAATCAGGGGATGGATGATATCTAAATGTAAAATCTTGTAGGAACAGGTTATCCTTGCTTACATTATGGTAGTTTTTCAAGTGTGCAACCAGAAACAGTACAATTTTATTGTAGTTTCCTTTTTTACCTGGGGAGTGTCTATGGAAAAGCTGTGATTTGAAGAACAATACACTAAATTTTGAAGTTGGTGCCATCAGGATCTGGTGTGCCTGTTCAGATTTACGTGTATCTATAAGAAAAATGTTTCTTTTGTCTTGTATATTTTGTAGGTGGAAGTTTTATGAAATTAAGCAGGTACATCTGTTCTTATATGCTGTGTTTGGAAATTGGAATGCTTATAACACGATATGTGGTCACAGTTTGCTCGAAACATCCTACTAATTTTCTTTCCCAACAGGGACATTATTTTTACCATTGACTCAAACCATTTCTTTTGATCTGCAGCTCTTTGTAACAAAGATAGCAAGGGACTTGTATGTACGTTGAACACCATGGGACTTGTATGTACGTTGAACATATGCTTGGCGAGGACATTCCCCGAGAGCCGGACTTGAGTTCATATAGAAAGAAAA